TATATATATATATATATATATATATATATGTATATATATATATATATATATATATATATATACAACAGTTCTGTCTGGTTCTCGAATCTGATTAGCTGATAGCCGTGCGATATTCTGCAATATCAGAACTCCTACAGCCTCTTTACCCTTTGTGTATTACTCCGCCCACATACACCCAGCATAAAGCAGACACTACAGATCTAAAGTTTAAAAGATGCTTGCTCAGCTGTTTTACTGTCAGCTTATGATTTGAATCCGGAAGAAAGTAGTTCCTCATACAAAAGGGTTTTTGAGACTGTCCATGTTTGATTTTGTTTTTATAGACACAATTATGCCGTCAAACTGTTGTATAAACGCAATATCACACTCGTTGCTGTGCGATATGGCTGTATATCGGCACTGGTGGAAGGCGTGCGTTGGCCTGAGGCCGCAGGCCGAGTGCCTTAGTGCCCCCACTAATGCCAATATACAGCCGTATCGCACTGCTACTCGTGTGATATTGCTCATATATATACATTTGAAGTAAGAATTATTAGCCCCCCTGAATTATTTGCCCCGTTTAATTTTTTCTTTAATTTCTGTTTAACAGAGAGACTTTTTAAACACATTTCTGAACGTAATAGTTTTAATAACTCATCTCTAATAACTGATTTATTTTCTCTTTGCCATGATGACAGTAAATAATATTTGACTAGATATTTTTCAAGACACTTCTATACAGCTTAAAGTGACATTTAAAGGCTTAACTAGGTTAATTAGGTTAACTAGGCAGGTTAGGGGAATTAGGCAAGTTATTGTATAATGGTGGTTTGTTTTGTAGACTTTCGAAAAAAAAAAAATAGCTTAAAGGGGCTAATAATTTTGACCTTAAAATGGTGTTTAAAAAATTAAAAACTGCTTTTATTCTAGCCAAAATAAAACAAATAAGACTTTCTCCAGAAGAAAAAATATTATCAGACATACTGTGAAAATTTCCTTGCCCTGTTAAACATAATTTGGGAAATATTTAAAAAAGAAAAACAAATTCAAAGGGGGCTAATAATTCTGACTTCAACTATATATATATATATATATATATATATATGTATAAAAATGGATACACCTTAATAAAATTGGAATGGTTGGTGATGTTAACGTCTTGTTTGTGGTACATTAGTATATGTGAGGGGGCTTGTAAATAACTCATGAAAGAATAGTTAGGTTTCAAACTAAAAGCACACCATTGCTTTTCTTGTGAAGTTTATTAAGATGTATCCATATAAATGGCCCACCCTGTATAAATACACAGTGAGTGACTACATTAAGTTAATGTTTCTTAAAGCTTTATTCTATATAAAAGTTAAGGGTAATGGACTGAAACATTACTTGACAGACAAACAGAGAGTATGATCCTGGACATCTGTTTATCCATGAACGTCATTTTTGCTCTAAAATTATAATCTAAACCTAAGCCCTACCTCTAAACTCAACCGTAACTGTAAATTATTCCTCATATCTGAGAATAGTAGTGAGTGGATAAGTGGATAACCCTAGTGGAGTGTAAGTGGATAACCCTAACTGTAAGACTAAACAGAACATAGACAGTAAATGTATCTCTTAATTCTGATCGGCTGATTGGAATGTTGTTCCAGGATCAACATAGATGCACATCCAGGAACATGTCCTTCTTGGTGAAATCAAACTAACCATAGATAGCGGTAAAGAGCAATAAACATCAGTAGAGGGCGCTATAAACCAGCCACAGATGCGCTGTGATCTGTGGACATGAGCTACGGCTCTCACAAGATGACATATTAACAGTAATAAATGCATTATAAATTATTATCATGTTAATACAATTGTAACTAGTTATACCATTATTATTATTAATAATAATAATAATAATAATAATAATTCACATGTAATAACCGCTGATATACTTCTACCATAGTAATATAATTAATGTAAAATAAACTAATTGTTTTGTTTTACTTTATTTAAACTATTCTAACTAACTACATATTTTTATCGCATTTACTTCTTTGAAATGTGTTTTATTATTATTTTTAATGATAATAATATTAAATATATTGTTAAAAAAATTCAGATTATGTTTAAATATTATTATTGCATTTAATTTGGAGTATAAAATAATTATGTTTATATTATTTGCTTACTTTATTTTATATTGCACATACTACCACTACTGTTCAATGTATTCAGCATGTCACCATATTGACCTGTCTGTGTCTTCTGGTCAGTCTCGTTCTGTCCAGTCTTTCCATGTCACTCAAATGCACAAGTTATTTGTTCGTTATTATTCTTTCAGATTATGACAGCCACCGGGAACAACGGAAATATAAATGGTGCTCGTCTGCTCCTCAAAAGGCTGGTGAAAAACGAAGCTGGCTGGTTTTCTAAATTCCTTCAGGCTCTGGAGGACACGGAGCACCGTGACCTGATGCGCGAGCTGCGAGGAGAGCCGTGCGAGGGGGACGGTGAGAACAAAAACTTCTTGAACGCTGAAAAAATAGTTTCTTTCTCATCAAGGCGTGACCGACACTCCTACAGTATAGAAGCTGGAAACCAGAAACCAGCGGTGCTTGAACATCTCTCAGATTTTTACACTGTAGACTGGACGTCCCATGGTATTCCCTCAAACCAGAACTAAACAAGATTACATTCAGTGGTGTAAAGTAACTAATTACAAATACTCAAATTACTGTAACTGAGTAGTTTTTCTCAGGAATTGTAATTAAGCAAGTAGTTTTACTTTTTTTTTTAACTTTTACTTTCCTTTGAGTACATTTTTAGTGCAGTAATCAAAACTTTTACTCTACTACAATCCTTCAACCTGCAGTTACTTCTTTATTTTTTCTTGTCTATGGGGATATGAATAATCAATCCTGTAATTCCTGTCCAATCAAATCTCACAAAGAAGGTAAATCGCATTATAATGAACTACCTCAAAATAGGGTTGATCAAAAGAAATATATTAATGCAATTCAAATATATAGTATATAAATTGATGTTTACTTTAAACTTATTATAAATATATATTTATATTGTTCAATTATAATGGTTAAATTCTTTTTTTTTTTTTTTTTTTCAAATAATGTGGCTAAAAAGTATCGGTTCAGGCACCGTTTTGGCACCGGTACCATTTTAAAAGTATCAATTTAGCACCTGTATTGAAATAACCCCAACTGATACCCAACTCTACCTCAAAACATGTGCACTTTATAATTGCAGAAAACTGTTTGGAAGCATTAAAAGTGTACAAGATGTCCAAAATCTTTACATGCATTGACCCAGAGACTGTTTAGATCAGGGGTCTCAAACTCAATTTACCTGGGGGCCGCAGGAGGCAAAGTCTGGGTGAGGCTGGGCCGCATAAGGGATTTCACAAAAAAGAAGTCCTCAAATGTCATTATTAACAGTTTTAATTATTTCTTCTGAACGTGAAGTGTCCTGAACATTAATAGAACATTGAGTGAAGATTATGAACAGTTCTTCTGAACATGGCATCTTTTGCCTACTTCTTGCTGCCAGAGACTTGACAGCGCTTCTTCTCACAAATCTGAACCACATTTGGCTTTAGAGCGGAAGCAGTTGAGACCCTCAGTATGGCTTGAAGATGATCATCATTAAGTCTAGACCTGTACTTTGACTTATTGAAGTTCAAGGTGGAGAATAACTTCTCACACAAATTTGTGCTCCCAAAAAGGCACATGGTCCGCTTAAACCCCACTCCAGTCACATCAGTCTGTGCCAGTCTGTATCTACCTATAATATATATAAGATGCAGGCTGTAGCTAGGTAGGCGGCAGGCTGCAGATAGGTAGCTAAGTGGCAGGCAGGGGCGGGAACAGCTTACCTTGGTTCTGGCCGGCGCGAGTTCCCTCCTTACACTTCCTGCCCATCACAGCGTCTAACAAAGGGGCGGGGTGCGTGGAGACGTTGTTTACACGGCGGGCGGGGAATGCCAGTGACCGCTGTGTACGGATAGAATCAGCGGAGCGGGGAGCGCTCTCTCTCCCCGCTCCGCTGATTCTGTCAGTGTACAGCGGTCGGCGCGGGCCACAAAATATTGCACTGAGGGCCGCAAATGGCCCGCGGGCCGCGAGTTTGAGACCCCTGGTTTAGATGCATGTCACTGATGAGAAGATGACGGATGTTTACTGTATGATGATCGAAATGGCCCTAAACACCCAGCAGGCACAAGATGTCAACATGATGTCAGAATTAAGCTGTACCCCAGTGTCATGGGGATGGAAAATCATGGAAGTGTCAGATTTGATGCCAAAATGACGTTGGTTTAAGATGTTTGCTTGACATTAGGTTGTATTGGAAAGTGACCAAAATCCAAAGTCAACCAAATATCAACGTCATTTGATGTTGTTATTGAATAATTAACGTTGTCCTTAGAAGCTGGCTAGACATTGATTTTTGGTCACCTGACATCACAACTTAAATCTAACCTAATGTTAATGTCTTATGATGTTGTGTGCATGCTGGGCAACAAGTCGATGCACTACAGAATGTTACGTTTACACACACATGCACAAATTACATGGAAACGCATCAGCTTTTAAAAGCGTAATACTCACTACTCTTGAGTAGTTTTGAAAGGGCTACTTTTTACTCCTACTTAATATTCATAGAAATATACACTAGATATCGCATAGGGACCCTAAGCATGCGTCAATAGCGCCGCCACATTGGTACAGTGCTCCCAGGACAAATGTCATTCAACCGCACTAGTCAACACAGTGTTATTACGTGAAGATGCGGGACTTTAGTGCTGTCTACGGGTGTAGTAACGAGCAAACAAAGAAAACAAAGCACAAAGGCAGAACATTTCATAGGTAAGATTAAGTTTTTACGTTTTTGTATGCTCTGAACTTTTGTGCTAATGAGGTAACGTTATTGATGATACAGTCACTTACTGCATTCACTATAAGACAAAGAAGCTCCCACTCGCACTAAACACTCGGCTTATGCTAGTTTTGTTGAATAAAATCAGCAAACAATGCAAAAGAAATATGACAAAGAGATGCTGCGGTGCCAGAAACTTGTATTATTGTCGGCTAACGTTAGTGAAAGAGTCGTTCGGGGGATTCATTCACAAACGAATTGCTCCCTCCGTCAGTATGAGAAGTGAAAGCAGGAGAGGAGCTGTGTTTCAGGACATGATTAGATCAGATTTAACAGGGAGGGTGAATAGTACATTTCTGTACACACAAACACGAGCTTTTTGTCAGGAATGCCCGTGCGGTCACTGATCCATCAATGTAGAAAAGTGATGTAAAATTATAATTTTCGTAATTAGAAAAAAAAATTACATACTAACATCCAGTAAAACTCCCGATCATAGATATATGTGTATATGTGTATATCTCTGGCTTTGGATGGCCACAGTCCTCCATTGTACATTGGTCTCGCATTCATTTCAAAGGAGCCGCTACCCTGTAGCAAGATGACGGCACTATTGACGCATTCTGTCCAATAGACAACAATAGGCCAGGCGACATCTAGTGTATATATCTATGCTTAATATTTAGGAATATTTTACTAAATATTATAGTAAATATTATAGTAATATTTACCACAGATACTTTTACTCTACTTGCACTACATTTTTAGACAAGTAATAGTATTTTTACTTGAGTAAGAGTTTTTAATACTCTTTCCACCACTGATTACATTATAGTCCTTTAGCAGACGCTTTAGTCCAAAGCGACTTACTATTAAACAGAAATTGGGGGAAAAAATAATTCAGGGGGAGAGCTAATAATTCTGACTTCAACTGTATATATTTGGGAGTATGGCACCTAAAAACTTTTGAAATTTTATTTAAGGTTTACAAAGCAAATCTAATTAAATTTACTTCTTTGGTAAACAAAGTAAGCATCTCATATCAAATATCTACTACTTTAAAAACAGTATTGTAAAGAAAATATTTGAATAAACATTTTGATATTAGTTAATAATATCACTGAAATTAAAATAAAAACTGAATAAAAATACATTTACACACATTCACATAATTAAACTCAATGGTGGGCTAAACAAATTTTGTGGATATTTCTATTGCACAAAATCAATGTGGGCCTACGCATGAACATCAGGGGTTCGTTCCTCGTACCTCGCTTAAATGATCTAAGATGATTTAGCAGATCCTGGATCTTTTAATCTTGACAACTGATCTCTCGCTAATTTGGTTCTTCAAACAAGTTCGAAAATCAGATTAGAATGTCTGGATAAACTGATCTGAGATCGCTGCGTGTGTTGTGAAGGACAGATCTATCAATCCTCGAAATCATGATCAGCAATGCAACGATTGGCTGACGGCACAGCAGCGTAATGACATCATTTGATTAATATTCAATTATCCATGTGAGCAAAATTACATCAAATTAGCAGTAAACGGCTTGTTAAATATGACACCCAGTAACCTTTCACATTTGTTGTGAGCTGCACGCTTTACACTTTCATGTGTCAAGAGTATTCATCATGTATTTCAATGCAAATCAATATATTTAGTTCTACATTTAGAAAAGATTTTCTTTATTATAGTAGCTGTTTTTTTTTAATCTGTGTAAAAAATAACTGGTTGTTTCCAAAAGCATTTTGATATTGGTAAAGGCGTCTGCAACTTTTGTGAAGCATTAAATCACTGGCATATTAACTATTAAAACATGTTTATGACTGCATAAATGTATTATTGCTTTAAAAAAAAAAAAGTCACATATTCTGCATTTCTATTATACACTAATTGTACTAAAGCGATCTAAAAAAGTTCATATCAATAAGTTTTCTCTTTGCACCACCAGGTGGCAGTCTTTGTATTTTCATTTCGAGGGTGCAGATTGCATAAGTTTTATTAATATGTATAACATTATTTATTTTATTAATGACTATAACTTTATATATATAGTTAAAAAATATTTACTATTTTCCCAAGCGTATATAACTACTACTGTAAGAAAATATCAGAACTCGGTACATACTTTTTGTATTATCTTTGCTTGAACTGAGCCGATCTAATCCTGTTTATATGAATTGAACCTGCTCCCGATCAGGTTTGACCTAGCAGATCTGTTGCCGTGACAACAACTCTCGGATCAGCTTTGAAGAACGAAACGATCCTGGATCGTGTCAAATCGTCAATATCCAAATCCAGCTAACGGAGTAATCCACGTACGAAGAACGGACCCCAGATTACACACTGATCATGCTTTTGTCATAACAAAAACATTATCAAGTCATTTGAGAAAACACTTCAAAAACACTGCACATCACAGATATACTGTTTGATTCTGACCCAAATCGTGTGTAGCTTGTCTCATGTTTGCCTAGGATCTTGAGCTGACATTGATCACCTGTGTACTGTGTGTTTCAGAGGGGATGTCTGTGGACTCGTCGGATGCTCAGGCTGAAGTGAAGGACACCGGTGCAGTCAGAAGAAACTCAATGTCTTCTCCTCCTCCGTCTTTCACCCCCAACAGCTCTCTTCAGTCAGAGGATCTGGACGACAGTGTGGACAGCAGCCTCCTGGGTGTGGATGCTGGAAATCAAGGTGAAACATCTCAATTATCTGGAGGTTCCCACACTCTTAAGGCTGATTTATACTTCTGCGTCAAACACCGGCGTATGCTACGGCGCTGACGCATAGCCCTTCGCCGTGGCCATCAGCGTCGCTGACGTGCACCTCTCAAAAATTGTAACTTCACGTCGTAACGACGCGTAGCGCAAGCTCTGTGATTGGTCGGCTTGGTAGCGCTGACGAGTCTGGGCGGGACCGAGAGCCGCGCAAATGGCGCGAGCTGGACGCGAGCCCAATGGAGCGATTGTTTACAAGTGTGGAGTCCCGTGAAGGAGCTCCTGATGGAAAGTTTTGTTTTGTGTTTACCTGATAGTTAAAGTTGTTGTACGTCTGCCAGTTCCTGCCTCAAAATGAGCGAGTTTGAGCCACTTGTGCATCCAAGAAGTGTTCAGGAAAAGCAAAACAGCAGAGAAGAAACTCGACACAGAGGAACATTTACACCTCACTGCCAACTAGTGTTTCGGAAGTTTTAATTTAGACCGACAGAGACAGCGTGCAGAAGTATAAATGCACAGCTACGCGCGTTGCATGCGCCATGGGTCACGCCGGTCACTTGACGCAGAAGTATAAATCAGGCTTTAGTCAAACATAAAAATGCCTGATTTTCACTAACTAAAAATCAGAATTTTCATGGCCTGTAATTAAGGAAAAAACAAGACACTGTTGTTTTTAACATAATATTAAAGTAGTTTAAACTTGAATTGAATTTAGTATCCATTATAAGAGCAAAAATGGATTATTTACCTCAGATTTTGACAAGAAAGAATCAAGAGCAGCCAGTATAAGAGTGAAGTAGGGCTGCGAAAAACAACAACTTACAATGCAATATTATTTTGTTGGTTTTCAGATACATATTGCAATATTGAGAATAATTCCACAAGATTAAATGAATAGCTCTATTTTCAAAGAATTGATCATTTTAGATTAGGGATGTAAAAAATACCAATTTTTTTTCAATATTACCGTAATCACATGACTCAATAAAACTATAGGTCTTCTAAGAAAAGTTTTCTCAGGCGAATGAAGCGAACGGGAGGGAGCGAGAACTACGATTCCCATCAGCTTAGGCAAGGCCATCATCCTTTGTGGTCTGTTGTCACTACAGATCCAGTAATGCGGAAATGGAGTGTGCTGCTAGTAGCGGGGATGAAAAAGAGCTGGAAATGACCGAACCTAAAGTGGGTTTTAAATCGGATGCGTGGAAGCATTTAGGTTTCTTTCTAAAAAGTTAAGAGAAAGGAGAAAAGGTGACAGACAAAGAAACAACAGGCACTGCCGGACTGTGGTGAAATACAAGTCGGGGAATACGACTAATAACAGTCATGGGGACTGCAGAACACAGCACACTGCTCAGATTGATGCAGACATTGACTTGTACCGCAAAGAGACCTCTATCTCACTCATTGTCCTCTCAAGTGGTGGAAAGACAATGCACAACGTTACCCCCTGCTGTCAACCTCGGCTAAATCATATCTCTCTGTCCCAGAAACCTCAGTCCCAAATGAGAGGTTTTTTTTCTGTTGCAAAGGACATTGTAAATGATCAGTGATCCCAGCTTTTACCAGATGATATTCATATGATAATTTTCCTTTAAAAAAACCCATCTCTATCTAAGTGAGTAAGTGATTAAATGTTGAATGTGATGAGTTTTCGAAAATACTAAATTGAAACTTTATTTTTTTTACATGGTTTAATAATTTTTGTTATTAAAATTGAAAAATTGAAGTTCCTCTTTCAAAGCTTACAGATAGATGGCTAATTTGTATGTCATTGACATGTTCAGTGCTAAGGTAAATAAACACTTTTGGCACTTTTTTTTCGAGTCTTTTCATTAGTTTTGTTTTTCCTGTAAATGATTCAATAAATACCGTACCGTGCCATTCATACCGAGGTATTACCATACCGTGAAATTCTGATACCGTTACATCCCTATTTTGGATAGATTGGGTTGGTTTTGTAGGGGTGTGCATCTGCATAAAATATAATAAACCAATCACAGGCCTGAATAAATACAGCAGAGCAAACATACATATGAAATAAAGAGTGCTTCCTGTTTTTCTGGAAGTCTAGCTGGATTGGAATATATAGAACCTCAATAACAAAATGTAAAATAACTCTATAAAGTGCAGGGTTCTTGCACCATTTTAAAAGTAAAATTTAATGCTTTTTAAGACCTCAACAAGCATAATTTAAGACCCAAAAATGTTATAATTTCTTTGGAATAGGCTACTCATTTTAATGTTCTCGTTAGATTTAAATAAATTGTGCCTCGTCACAGTATGGATAACCCACAGTACCTGCCTTTTGGGTGTCTGGTGGTGAAATGAAACTGTTATAGCTGACTGTGAGAGGGCGTCTGAACTAAAGCTGTAATCAGGATATAAAAGTTAGGCCCGATAGAGCCCGAACCCGACAAGTACATTTTGAATGACAGCTTTATAAAAGCCCGAACCCGTTTATATCCCAACATTATCCAAATGTGCACAGGCACACAGCTCTTTTGTCTTTTTTCATGTATGAGTTGTTTATAAGGGTTAACATTACTTATTCATAACATAGGCTATAGGCCTAACATCATAAACTAGTAACATTGTTAGGTCGAGCTGCAAACAATGCAGGGGCTAACCTGGACCAGCTATGACAAGCTGCTGCAACGTCCCGCTGCTGCTTTCCTTCTTTCATGTGCGACTTGACGACTTTGAGCCCCATGGTCCCTAACGAAAAGGTCTTTTTGCAGAATTTACACATTGCCTCTTTGCCACGTCGTTAAGGTGCAGGTGCAGACCGACGTAAGCGTCTGTAGTACTCTGTAGCTGACCAACCGTAATAAGCTAATAAATCACGGAGACTGTCATTTCTGTCCTGTTTTACAAGTGCTACATCAATCAACTATTAGATGTTTTATGGTGGACCACTGTGCTTCCCTATCGTCAATAAGCAGACCGGCTGAAAATTTAATACCTACAGCTACTTTACGGTAAAATTTAAGACAATTTAAGACCTTAATTTCCCGGATTATAATTCAAGACATTTTAAGACTTTTTAAGGACCCGCGGGAACCCTGAAGTGTCTTTATTCTTTATAAAACTATTAACTATTAAACAAAACCAGTTTTAAACCGAGGTAAACATTGAACAATGGCACCTTTTCAACTCTATAACCATACCTTCTAAAACAATATGCGCACGCACACACTCACACACAGATGTGCAAAGGAGTGTGATAGATTAATGCCAGTGTTTCCAATGCGCAAATCCAACTAACTTCAGTATATATATTTACTTACAGGGGTGGAGATGTATGAAGACGGTGAAGAAAAGGAGGAGAAAGATCTCAAAGAAGATGAGGATGATGATTCATCAGGTATAGTAAGATGATGAATATCTGCAAAACATACAGGAGTCACTGCTCAGACAGAGTTAATAAGACAATGGGCTCTATTTTAACGGTCCATGCGCAGAGCGCAAAACGCAGGGCGCAAACGCTTTCAGGGCGTGTCAGGACGCGTTTTTGCTAATTTAAGGACGGGAAAATCTGCTTTGCGTCATGGCGCATGGTCTAAAAGGGTTGAGTTTATTTTCTTAATGAGTTATAGGTGTGTTTTGAGAATAAACCAATTAGAGTCTCATCTCCCATTCCCTTTAAGAGTCAGCTGCGTCGCGCCAAGAGCGCATTCGCTATTTACAGGAAGTCTAAGTGGAAAAAAATAGCATTTCACAAGCAAACAGTTAACAGTATTTTTAACAGAAAACTGTTAAACAGAGCATCTACTGCGTGATAATGAGAGATAATGGATCTACTTTCACATTCGCTCTTGGATAGGGAAACCTTTATGCACAGACATCAATTAGCCTATAAATAAATTATTTTGTTTGTTAAGCGCAAATATTCATTTCAAAACTATTTCTAAATTCAGTTCTAATTTCCAGCAAACAAATAAATGAACAATAACAAAATGTGCTCAAAATCCTGAATTATATCCTAAAACACATGCTGCCATGCCCCATATGGTCTGAAACCTGCAGGTGGGCAAATCTAAGCTTGTTTTTAATCAAACAAATATAAATATGGATATAATAAATAATACTGCTAATAATAATAACATTATACAAAAGCAAATTGTTATGAATGAACTGAAAAAGCCTCCCGAGATGAAGAAGGCATAAAAGCAGTGATTTTTCATATTTATGTAGGCTAGAAAATAATATGTTTTGTAATATTTTAATCCTTTATATTTATATCCTATATCTATTCTTATTATATCCTATATATATCCTTAATATTTATTTTTTTTCATACGTAAAGATATTTGCCTATTGCTCTCTTGTGCGTATTAAGCAGTGTGTAAGCGAGACGCAACTCTGCGCCGGAGTTTAGACCAGGTTAGTTTTGGTCTAATGAAAAATCTATTATAGTTTCTCAAAATAGCAACGCGCCAGCGGTCCACCTCAGAACGCCTTTCTTTTTAGACCAGGACTCCTATGGGCGCACAAATGAGCGCTAATGCATTTGCTATTTAAAAGCCTAGCGCAACGCCTCAAAACGACTCTTGCGCCAATTTGAAACTACCAAAAGACTACTGCGCCGCGCCTTGCGCCACACTGCGCCGGGTGTATGATAGGGCCCAATAAGCTACACTATACATTACTGAAATCCTAAAGTATCTACTGTATCTATGCCAGAATCTGAGCTTGTTAAATTGATATTACATACAGTTGAAGTAAATATTATTGTCCAGATACTTTCAGAGTGCTTTTAAACAGAGATTTGTTTCAACACATTTTTAATAATTAGTGTTAATAGCAATTCTCTAATAACTGACTTCTTTTGTCTTTGCCATTTTGAAAGTGCATAATATTTTACTAGTTATTCTGCAAGACACAGTACTAGTATTCAGCTTAAAGTGAAATTGAAAGGCTTAATTGACCCATCGCTAAGCCACACCCAAAAACCGCCACCCAGCAATCTTGGCTTAGCAACCGTAGCTATGCGCAGGAGCTCTGTCAAGCTTGAGCGAGGGAAACAGGCCAGAGCGATGTGCGTATGAATTGTGCAAATCTGATACCCGGTATCCTTAAAGTTTGAACAGGGTAGTGGAATTGTTTACCTTTTTTAAAACCTAAAACCCAAATGCCAGCGTGGATCAAGCTCTGTCAGGAGCGCTGAAGGAGCAGAGTGAAGTTGTTTTTGTTTTCGATATTCCTGACACATTAGGTGATAGACAGACGGCAATAACTCACACACCTCTTGCCTAACTGATCTTAACTGTGTTTCCTACAAAAATACAAAGCAGGTTCTGTTACCCAGCTGTTTTTTTTTTTTTTTTTTGCTCGATATTATGAGCGCTGCTCCGTTTACGCCTTCGTCATAGTAGGCATACTATTAGCAATAATATTTCCATCTGTTTCAAGCTACGGATATTTGAAATTACATATCAACAGAACAAAACCGAGATATGATCCCAATCTGAGCACTTGTGATCAATATACTTCATCCGCAGCTGTTTTTGAGTCATTTATAAGCCTCAATGTCCATACATATGTCAGAGCTACAATTCACTGATGTTTTTGTCAGTTATTCTGAGATTTAGTCATTGGTGACGATGTTATAGCGCAGGGGTCACCAATCTCGGTCCTGGAGGGCCGGTGTCCCTGCAGGTTTTAGCTCCAACTTGCCTCAACACACCTGCCTGGGTGTTTCAAGTATTCCTTGTAAAACCTTGATTAGCTTGTTCAGGTGTGTTTGATTAGGGTTGGAGCTAAAATCTGCAGGACACCCGCCCTCCAGGAACAAGTTTGGTGACCCCTGTTATAGCGGATTAGTGTCTGCTTTTATATTTGCTGTCTTGATTAATTATTGCTGGTAGGGAAATCTGTTCACTTTTGCTATTTATGCTTTAACTTGCATTTCAATTTATTAGTTTCTTCCACTTAACGGCAAATTAGAATAGAAACTGGATAAAGAGCACACAAACATACGTACAGACAGTGATAAGTGTTTATTGTTGTGGGTCAATGATGCTAATATTCGGCACCAATCCATCAATTTCCCCTTTCTGGCTGCTCTTTCTATGAATGAAGGATGTAGAAGCACTGTCCATGCATGTTTCCCCGTCGGTTAGTAGCGCTATATTTCATTGCACAACAATTAATCTATCAGGCTATTTGGCTAAAAAAAGAGAAATCATGGTTTAATTAGTTATTATTAGATTATTTTTAGATTTCACCTCTCCTGCTGAGCATGAACTTAGCTGTTGAATGGTCAACGTATGAGGCAGCTAGGCTAACTTAGCTTCAATTTTGATTCGGTTATTTTCTAATCGTTGCCCATTATGTCGTGAATATACCCCTGTAATGCATACTGTAGCCCTTTTTTGTCTGGATTTCTCAGATATCTCATCTGTTCGTCAAAAAACGACTAATTATATCCCTGGGAATGTCTGACACCAGCGCATACACATTGTGATAGAAATTGCAGGCACTAAAGATTGACAAGCATAGCAACAGTAACTAAGGAGGGCGGGGCTTAGCAAAAGGGTAAATTGTGGGGTAATTAGACATGTGGTTTGTTCGCTAGCCAGTTGAAAAGTATATATATTTATTAGGGGGTAATAATTCAAAGAATAATAATAATAAATAATTAGGAATGCAATGATACCAGTACCTGTGCTCATGTAAATGTACTTGTACTTATGAAAACACTGATACTCAAGGATGTAAATGACTGAACGTTTCAGTACAAATTCAACCTCAGCAGTGTGCTAATATTTCAAAATTAATGATGACAGTCCATACATGGGAAACTGTAGACTTTCCTCTGCAAAAATATTAGGAGGGGGTAGGTCTGTGCAGAATATCGAGTTCTGGGGATGTAACGATATTATTCCCCAACGCGATGCGGGACTATCCAATATCTTTCATCTCGATATGGTTCGAGGCCACTCCTGCGCGAAACAGACCCCTCACACGAGCTCCACTTTCCATAGGCAAATTAATGATTCACACCTTAAGTTGTATAAAAGATTTGTTAAAAATGAACGAATCGTTAAAGAACGACCCATCACTACACGCGACTGTGTCACTAGGGTCTTTTAGGAATGCTCATGCTCTCCGGTCCTCCATGACCACCACAGCATCTGCTCAGAATACGGCCTGGTCCGGGATTATGGATACCTTGGCATCAACCAACACATTAAACAAGACTATAATAATAATTCAAGTTGTTAGAATTAACCTTGCTATATCTTTAAACTGCACATGCAATGATTTAATGTCCAGTTTATTGTCTAAGATGAAAATGAGGCATCAAATCTCTTCACACTTTGACGTTACATCTAGCTTGTGGTTAAAATTATTTTGTACGATACTGTACATATAATGACCCATAATCTAGCCTTTGTCTGAGACATGTTCCTGCTAGCAATTAACTGTCAGGAAATGATGTTCATAGAGTTATTATTATAAAGCGCATGAAAAAGAAAGGCATAGTTGTGTGCATCGGTCAGGGTCTCTGTGGTTTTGCTAGAGCTCCACATGTGAGACTTTGCCCTCGAGCGCACAAAGTTCACCAGCTCCTTCTCCCCCAAAAAAGTGCTAAATCACGTCACATCCAGAGAATATTTCCACTCGGAGACACTTTTCCAGACCGAAGCCTGCTGGCGGCATATTGAAGTGATCAAGAACGGGTCAGGTCACAGTCTGCGGGAGGGAGAGAGGAAATGTGCTTAAAATGAGGAAAGGCACATTTCAATTTCTGTAAAACACAAACATTGTTTTCATAATGAATTATTGCTCTACAGAGACAGGAGACCTTAGAGGAGAAAAAAATAATAATTAAAAGGCAGTATTTTGGAAACATTTAAAATTTGAATATATAGTATATAATGCATCTATTTACATACAACAACCATTCTTGTCTTAGAACAATCTGAAAACTGAAAATATGTTACATCGGGTTCTTTTTGCAAATCTGAAAAACATTACTTAAGGTACGTTATTATGAATCTGAAATACGTTACTCAAGGTTAATACATTACTTGTGGTACATTTTTGTTATGTTTTGTAATTGTTACTTAGCGTATGTTATCAAAAACCCGAATCAAAAACATGATACTTAGGGTATGTTTTATGCGAATCTGAAATGCGTTACTTAGGGTACATTTTTGTGAATCTGAAAATTGTTACTTAGCGAACGTTTTTGCAAAAATGTTATTTTTACTTAGCGTACATTTTTGCGAATCTGAAATATGTTACTTAGGGTACGTTTTTTGTGAATCTCGAAAATGTTACTTAGCGTACGTTTTTGTGAATCTGAAAATTGTAATTTAGTGTACGTTATTGCATATCTGAAATATGTTACTTAGG